TGTCCAAATAGCTTGAAAGTTCGAGGAAGCGGTGAGAGTGAGAAGAAGAGCAAGCGGTGTTAATCTGGAAGGACCCAGCAGACTGATCCTCCAAAAATTACCCCCAAGCCTGTTTTCTCTTCCCAGTGGGTGGGGTAGGACCATCAACCCTTTGTGAACTGGTTGCACCAAACTTTCTCAAATATTTCTCAAATATTTTATGCAACTCAGTTTTCAAATCAGCATAGTAAGTAGTGTAATCAAGACTAGTATATTCAAGAAGTAAATGGAGGACCTTTGCATACCTCCGAGCTTAGCTCTAGGGTCAAGAATGAATGCAAATGAGTATAAGAGAGGAATGTCCTTCCAATACTTAAAAAATTTATGCTGCATAGGGTACACAAAGGGTCTAAGATTAACATCCCTTTCACATGCATGCAAATGGGTTGCAATCTCCAGAACATGGTGAAAAGACAAGAGGATCTGGTAGGATAGTAAACACCTGACAGTTGTAACAAGAGAGTCATAAAATACTTTCAGAACTCCAATATTTTCCCAGCCACGTGCCAATGGGCTAGATACAACAGTGCAGAACCATAATTTGAATTTATGAACACAAAAAATACTTCACTGTAAGGAACCAAGTGTTTTAGCATGAGATAAGTAGCATTCCATCTAACATCCATGTCTAAGCTAAATTTTCTAGGTCTCATACCTTTAGCTTCACAGTAGTTTCTAAACATAGCAATTCTTTGATTAGAGGAGTTCAAGAAATTAATTGCAGTTCTAAAATCCTCTATATAAGGTTTGATTCTTTTAGTCCGATTTGACTATCGATTAATAATGTGACAAGCAGCGTTGATGCACAAGATCAGTACTGTGGTGTGATCATCAAAAGTGTGAGGATCAACCAAGATAACCAACCAAACATGGGTGTCAAAGTTTCCATAGCCTTAGCATTAGAAGATGCATTATCTAAAGTGATAGAAAAGATTTTATCAACCAAGACATACTCCTCAACAACAGATGCAATGGAAGCAGAAATGTTTTCACCAGAATGCTTAACTTGAATCAACCTAAGACCAACAATCTTCTTTTGCAATTCCCAATCAGCATTCACATAGTGAGCAACAACATATATGTAATCCTCTTTAGCATTACCAGACCATATGTCAGAAGTCAAAGCAACAGATGCAGAAGCATGCACACAGTTCCTAATCATAGCACGACGTTCAGCAAATAACTTATCCAGATCTCTAGTGGTGATTCTTCTAGATGATCTAACAAATCTTGGGTTATGAGAATTTTTAATATATTCCTCAAATGCATCAGTGTCACCAAAACCAAGAGGAAGATCAAGCCTAGCAATCAATCTACACAGTTCAGTTCTAGCAACAGCAGGATCATAGTTCCAATTATGCAAAGACCCATCAACATTAAAAGCTAGTCGAGACTGAACCCTAGAAGCATTATCAAGTTTCATTTGCAAGATTTTTGGTGCCTAAGAATGTGACCAAGATACCAAAGAAAGAGATCTAGCACTCAACACAGCTTCTACACATCTTACATATAGCTCTAACACGCACATTGACACCATTAATCTTCTCATAAACCTCCTCAAAGTCACCTCAACACTTAGACTTGCGCTTACCAAGTCCAGAAACAGCACCAGAGGAAGGAGTACGAGTACCGTTACCATCAGCATTACCATTAGCACCAGTGTAGTTGGAGTGGGTGTTGGAGTCCACCGTCCCTCGCCCCCGTTGCCCTCGTGATCGACGGCATCGACGTCGATCGCCCGATCACCGTGTCCCGCGGGTGGCGTCATCAAACACCGCAAAGGGGTCACGGTCGTCGTCATCGTGCTCCGAGGACAGCCCAGCCGCGACCAAGTCATCGTCGCCAGTCACAGGGAACATGGCACCGTCGCCCTGCGGGTCACACGCCATGGGGCCCTCGGCCGTGGACGGCTGAACTCCAGCACCGTTCCTCAACGGTGCACGGCTACGGCTTGGCCGCGGTGCCATTGCCCATCGTCCGTCTACGCCAAGGCTAGTTGACGACGAGGCATCGGCAACAGACCTGCAAAGAAAAAGAACACGAAAAGAAGAAAAGGATGAGAAAATGATCCCAAAAACAGAATCAAAACACTGAGAAACGTTGAAAGCTCTAGTTTGGTTTTGATGAATTGATGAAACCCTAAGTGCTAACCTAGTTTATCAAGTGATCATGAGATCGGTAGCACACTCCAAGTGATGAAGCAAATGAAGATCATAGCATGATGATGATGATACCATGATAATGATCAAGTGCTTGGACTTGGAAAGAAGAAAGAGAAAAACAAAAAGTTCAAGGCAAAGGTATAAACCATAGGAGCTATTTTGTTTTGGTGATCAAGACACTTAGAGAGTGTGATCACATTTAGGATTGATAGCCGTACTATTAAGAGGGGTGAAACTCGTATCGGAGTACGGTTATCAAAGTGCCACTAGATGCTCTAACTCATTGCATATACATTTAGGATCTAGTGGAGTGCTAACACCTTTGGGAAATGATTGTGAAAAGCTAACACACATACACATGGTGGTGTACACTTGGTGGTGTTGGCACATTTACAAAAGGAGGTGGTGTTTGCAGGGTTGAGATGGGTTTGGGTCCCTCTCTCTCTCCCGCCGAGCTTGCTCGGCGGGATTCGGCGCTTTCGGAAAAATGGAATGCCTATTTTCTATTGCGCTGGATGAAAATTCTTGGTAGTTGGCACATTTGAGCAAGGGTAAAGAAGTTAGAGTTGAAATGGAGTTGGTCGAAATGATGCTGGCGTCGGTCTACTGACCGGACGCTAGGTCACTCAGCGACCGAACGCTGAAAGGCTGCGTCTGGTCGTGTTGTCAGACGGCACAGTGGCTAAGGTTGAGCACCGAACGCTGGTCTGTGTCCGGTCAAGGTGGACCGGACGCGTCCGGTCGAAGAAATACGCCTCGGGGAGCTTACTGGAAACGACCGGACGCTGGGGCTTCAGCGTCCGGTCAGTTTTGCCGGAGCGTCCGGTCAGCTTCGTAGCCGTTGAAATCTGACGAACAACGTTTGAAGCTGGTGACGCATGGCGTCCATCGGGCGACCGGACGCTGAGGGCCAACGTCCGGTCAGTATGACCGGAGCGTCCGGTTAGAGCGCGTTTTGCCCAGTGAAGGGGTATAACGGCTCTATTTGATTGGGGCTCTATTTATAGCCCCATGGCCGGCTCAAGGGCTCTCTCTTGCACATTTTCATTGACATAGCAACCTTGTGAGCTTAGCCAAAGCCCTCCCACTCATCTCCATCATTGATCCATCATCATTGTGAGATTGAGAGAGAATCCAAGTGCATTGCTTGAGTGATTGCATCTAGAGGCACTTGGTATTCGTGTTGCGCTGTGGATTTCGCTTGTTTTCTCTTGGTGGTTGCCACCACCTAGACGGTTGGAGCAGCGGTGAAGGATCGGCACGAGTTGGTGATTGTTCGTGGCCTCCTTCGGTGATTGTGAGGGGAGTTGTACCTTCCCCGGCGGAGTGCCGAAAGGTAACTCTAGTAAATTGCTCGTGTCATTGAGTTACCTCACTTGTGGGTCGGTTCTTGCGGTGTCCTATCGTGTGGACGAGGTTTGTGAAACACCTCTTAGCCGCCGAACCACCAAGTGTTGGCCGACACAACGGGGTTTAGCGTGTTGGCAAGCACGTGAACCTCGGGAGAAAAATCGGTTGTCTCTTGTCATTTGCATTCTCCCGGTGATTGGCTATATATATTCATCTTGTAATTGGTTCACTCCACGACCCGACGGTATAATCGTCTCACTTACTCATTTACATTTCCGCAAACTAGATATAGCAAGCTCTTTAGTGTAATTAGAATTGAGAGCTTGCCTTGTGCTTTAAACATATCTAGTGGAGCTCTTTAGTGTAGCATTTGTGAGAGCTCTTAGTGAGTAGTGGTCAAGTAGATTGTGTGCCAATAGATCATTGCAACTAGAATTGTTGGATAGGTGGCTTGCAACCCTTGTAGAGCTAGAGCAAGTTTGTATTTCGCTATTTGTCTTACTAATCAAATTGCTCTAGTTGATTTGTAGTTTTTAAATAGGCTATTCATCCCCCCTCTAGCCATATTAGGACCTTTCAAACGTATAGATCTAGGGGCTAGGGTTAGAGGTTACGAATGGGGATGAACTTGCCTGCGCAACCGGAGCCGGATGAGAAAATGATCCCAAAAATAGAATCAAAACACTGAGAAACGTATAGATCTAGGGGCTAGGGTTAGGGTTACGAATGGGGATGGACTTGCTGCAAGAGCCGAGCCCCGGCCGCCGGAGAAGACGAGGGCCACACAAGGGCAAGACGGGATTAAGAAGGACGGCGAGCGACGGCGGAAGAGAGACGGGGAGGCGGACTCACATGTTTATCGACAAAAGAGGAGGAGGAGTAAAAAGGAAGACGGAGAGGGACCGAGGGAGCAGGTAACTCGGGGAGAGGTGATGGAGGCGGGCGGCGATATCACCGGATCAAGGACGACAGTCGCGACCGGCGCACGAAGATGGATCGACGAGAGGAGGCGAGTGGCGACAGCGAGAGAGCGACGAGCGACCGAGCGGGTGTCGAGTGCGGCTGCGGTTGGGAGGCGAATGGGGTTAGGGGGGTGGGGGGGGGTGGGGGGGGGGGGGGGGCCGAGGGGGGGGGGGGCGGTTATATGGGGAGCCGGGAGGAGGCCAGAGGGAGGGGGCGTTCTTGGGCCGCCGGCCGCCCCGCTGCTTGCTTGCTATGGCGGGCCGTGCCGCTTGCGGCCTGTGGGCCTAGGGTGCGGCCCAAGCACGCACTGCGCGCCCGTGCGTGCCGGGACCGGCCCATTGACCTTTCGGGCGGGCCGGGCGGACCTAAATAGCGGGCTCCGTGCTGGGCTCACGGGCTCGGGCTTTGTGCCCAGACTCGCGCGCCGACGGCACCGAGTGCGACCACTTCCTGTCCACCCCAGCCATCGCGCTGGGGACGGCGCTCATGGCCGTCTCCCTCGCGGGCCTCGCCGGCGCCTGCTGCCGCGCCACCTGGCTGCTGTGGCTCTACCTCCTCGCCATGCTGGCCTTCATCGTCGCGCTGCTCTGCTTCACCGTCTTCGCCTTCGTCGTCACCGACAAGGGCGCCGGGGAGGCCGTGTCGGGCGCCGGGTACAAAGAGTACCGCCTCGGGGACTACTCCACCTGGCTGCGGCGCCACGTCGAGGGCCGCAGGACCTGGGCCAGGATCCGGAGCTGCCTCGCCGACGCGCACGTCTGCCGGCGCCTCCTGGAGGAGGAGAGCAAGGACAAGGACGCGGCGGCGGGTCTGGCGCGGCTCGGCCTGTCCCCGGTCGAGTCCGGGTGCTGCAAGCCGCCCGCGAGCTGCAACTTCACGTACGCCGGCGGCACGGAGTGGACCAAGACGAAGGCGGCGGCAGGGGCAGGCTCCGCGCCCGCCGCCGCTGACTCGGACTGCGGCGCGTGGAGCAACGATGAGGACGTACGACCTCTGCTACGGGTGCCAGTCGTGCAAGGCCGGCGTGGTGGACGCGCTCAAGCGGGACTGGAAGCGGGCTGCCATTGTTAACGTTGTCATCCTCGCCTTCGTCGTCCTCGTTTACTCCGTCGGCTGCTGCGCCTTCAGGAACAGCCGCCGGGACAACTACGCTTACCACAGCGGCCGCGGATGGAGACGAGGCGGTGACGACGCTTAATCTAACTTCTAATAGCGTATAGAGATGACTGATTTGCTAGCTGCTGGCTGCTGATGTAGGTTCCCTATGATCTGCGTTAGTTCAGTTTGCCATTAGGCATTAGCTTGTATATATTAGCCTGAGTTCGTATCACTTAGTTGTCTGGATTCAGTTGTACGCTCTGGGATTTCTTAATTCCATTTCCTCTTTGTTCATGCATACATTTTACCTTCCTGTTTGGATCCACCCATCTAAATTTTAAGCTAAACTTTAACCAGCTAAAAGTTCTTCAGGCTAAACTTTAGCCGCTCCAGCTAATAGAGTCAGTTAAACTTTAGCTGGGTTGAAACAGCTAACTCAACTAAACTTTAGTTGATTATTTAGCTAGATTGTTTGGATTCCTTAGCAGCTCAATTTAGCGAGCTAAAGTTTTTTCCTTTTATAACAGGCAGCAAAAGATTAGCCGGTGGATCTAAACATGCCAGGCAAAATTAATTGTCATTTGCTAGCAGGCCCACCAGAGAGAGCATGTGACTTTCGAACTAGGGAGGAAATATGCCTCCTTTTTTACTGATGCTTGTAGTTATCTGTTATCAAATCAGTCGTAATGGTACTGATAATAAAGTGGCCAAAAGAACTTATCTTGCCACAATGATGAACATCCATCATCTACAGAATCCTTTTACCGTAAGCTAGAGATTGTCTATTTATCTTCCACATGATTCTACCGTATGCTACAAATTGCCAAATTGAGATTGGCAGCCTTTTCTATGTAAGAACAGCACTCCAAATTCTTGATACCCCGTGTGGCCAGATTGCAGCTGAGCAAATTGCAATAGGCACTTCAGTCATCAATCTCTTCAACTAAATTTTCTTTCACGCTGATAGAACGCACCACAAAAACATGACAAAGGGGCAGAACCAACATTTCGTTAACACTAGTACACTGATAGAATGCATACAAGTTCCGAATATCTATGTATCACAATAGAGACCGACAGAAAACAAGTCAAAGGCATACGAGATTTAACACAAGTCGCACATAGTACCATGGTGGCTAATCTTAGTATGGTCCTTCAAAAGCAAACACCATTGGAAACACTGAAGCTATGCACCAGTCCCTCAATCTTCGTCTCTCTCAGGAGGGAGGCCACAAGGAAGCAGCATTTTCTGTAACAAAAAACATTCGATCGATAAATTTATAATGTTATCTCATTAATGTAAGTGTATGCTTGAAAATGGACAAATATGCAAATGAAGCTCGTGAACTATGTATATGAAGAAATATCAATAATCTTCTGGTACACAAGTATGAGGCATGTGAACAATGAAGCCCGTGAACTATGAACTATGGCAATATTCAGATCCCGCTAAAACTTTTGGTTTGAAAAAAAAAATTGGACAGCAATCCACTGAATTTTATGGAAGGTTAGATGCCAAGTTCACACTCATGTATGGGGTTCATTATCATTGTGCGTACTCCAGTTCTGTTTTCAGATACAGTGTTGCATGCCCCTGTTGATTTCACACTTAGCTGAACCACATTAGTTGCGTCTCCATTTATTTTCTCAATACATATTCACTTGCAATAGAGATTGCACAAAAGGGTCGTGGACTCATTTGCTTCAATGGATACACTGCTTATAATCACTACTAAAGGAGCTGGCTTCAGCGGTTGATTTATTTGGTTAGGATCGACTATAGGTGCTGCTATCATCTAGTAGGGCGTGGGCAGTTGATTTAGAACCTATCCTAGCTACAGCGCACATTAAAACGCATATGCAGTTGCCTGGCTATCTTACGAAAACCAAATAATTTGATTCGAGTATCATTAACAAGTGCTGTGAATAGTCAATTGTATCTTGTATGTACTATGTTACTAATAGAGCATCTATCTAACCAAGAGATGCCTGTTCTATTCACTAAGAGTTCTTTGACAAGCATCAAGCACACATCCGATCCCTTTGAAAAAGGGATTCAAAATGTCTATTTCATAGCACAGAAGATTTCCACTAATTATGCATCATTTACATAAAATATAAGCTATGTCCATTAAATTGTAAGGTTTGTCAATTTACCAAATACACCGGCTGCATAATTGTAAATGGTTGGCATATGGAAAGACAACTGACTGCAATTTAATTCTATTTTATAAAGACAGTGCATATGAATTTCAATATACAGTTTACACACAGAAATATATGTAGATGGCCAAGTTATTACTCCCACCATCCAAAAATATAAGGCGTATTTTGTTTCATAGGACAAGCTTTTGACCAAGAATTACTCTTACTACATAATGTTTGTGACACAAAATTGATGCTATAAAATTTGTATTCAAAAGTACTTGCGTATGATTTTGCATCAGATAAGTGGCATATTATAGAGTAACTGTTACTCATAGCCTTGTCCTCACCAAACAGAATACATTTTACATTTTGGATAGAGAGAGCTTTATAATAATAGTCTACTAGGCAGTGCTACCTAGTGTCTAGTGTGTAGTACTAAGGACGGAAAGAAAATAGTAGAGCAGTAGACAATTCTGCTTTCTACCCAATCATCTCACTTTCTTGCAGGGAGAAAGGAAGGTCCTAATTTTTGGGTAAAATCATATTGTTTTTGACAGACTCATATTGTTTTTTTGAGTATAGATTTATAGAATCCTTAACCAGAAGAACTGTTAAGCCAGAAGAGAACTGGTGGCACTTAGGCATTTCCAATGGAACACAGTAACTGCACTTAGATACTCGCACATGGCTGGCTATGAAAAAACCAGCAATGATGCTAAGTACAGAAACCCTCATCTTGTACTAGCCATAATTTTACTACAATATTATGCTCTAGAATTGTTCTATGAATTTGAGCTAGAGGCAAGTTGTCTTACATACCTGCATGAAATTGTAACGTTCTCTTCCGATCGATTCATTCTCAGCAATGGCAAAATATGCTAGCATTGGATAGTGCCCAATATAAGAGGCATAGCTGTCTCTCTGGATGTTTACAGCCCATTCACTGTAAATAAGGAGCACATTAAGTGGTAATGTCTTATAATTTCGTAACCTCTTTTGTTACAAAAATAACAGGGTACTTACAATCTGGACAAATCAGCATGCCCTGTACCAACATATTTGGCTTGAAGATGCTCAAGCTGAGAGTTTATGTTGAACCTATCGCTAGCCTTTCAAATGGTAAATTGTGTTAGAAATATTGTACTCAAAATGTCAGAAAACCTAGCTACTGAACGAACACTGAAGACTAAGATCCAGTTGAGCCAAAGTGAGCATAAAGAGAAAAGGGTAGAAAACATCAGAAGCCCCACAAGCCCAGGTAACACCCACCACACTTCTTAAAGTCTGCCAGACAGAGAAATGAACTACAATATCTGAAATTCAAAGTGTGTACGCGAGTGAACTTTAACAAATAAACAACAAACACAAATCCATGCTCTTACAAAAGGTATATCAGGTCCCAATTACACCAGGGCTATGTGAAATGACCCATACAACTACAATCCTCCACAACACTCGAAAAAATATATGCACTCCAATAAGAGTATATATATATATTATACAAAATTAACATCCCAAAGCATTACTGTAAGCTCAATAAAATAACAAGCAGCATGTAGAACAAGCCCTAGTGGATAATGCTTTGGTTATGATAAAAAAGAATAGGAATCCCACCACCAAACACTGAACCACACGTCCAATCCGCCCTACGCTAAAATTATCAGACAAAAAGGGATTGAGTTCATTGTAGTTCAGGTCTTTATCTAAGAGTTTCGTAATTTCTAAGAGTTTCGTAATTTCAAAACAGGACAGGAAAAACATGGAAGAACAGTTCTCCACTTTTAACCAAATGAAAATTTCTAGGACCACATCATATAGAATACAGATCACAATATGTTGTTTTAGTTGCCCTAACTGCAGAAGAAACCAAACGACTGCCTGTCTGCATCAGCCGCGCGCAACCAATCAACAGAGATAATCCAGGGAATACCAACCTGCATGATGGTGTGCTCTGGTTTGGCACCTCAAGCGAATGCTGGCAACTCCGGATTCAGAAGCGTGCCTAGAAGCAGTGGAGGACATGGGTGTATACCCGATAATTTTGCAAAAATAAAGTTAGAATGCATGTACATACATCTGTTATTAGATCAGATCCGAAAAAAAAAACCCGTTTAAGTTAGGGTTTGGGTGCTCGGTTTCGCACAGCAAGAAGGAAGAGAAGGGGTGGAGTACCTGGAGGTGCTCGTCGCCGGCGAAGGGCCCGAAGAAGACCTGGCGAAGGGTCTGATGGAGACCTGCGCACCTGGCGTAAGGCGGCGGCGGCGGTCGCCCAGGCGTCGCCGACTGGCGAGAGAGCGAGAGAGAGAAGACAACGGGCGCGGGGGGAACAGGAGAACACAAGGCAACTAGGCAAGGGTGAAGGGCTACAAAGATAAACGCAGCCCAAGCCCAGGGAGGGCCTCAGCTATAGCGGGCTACGCGCAGGCCCAAATCACCGCGATACCCACCCGTCCCACCGGTTGGAAGCTGTCACACGCAGAAACCTCTGTGACTCTGTCGTTCCTCTCCGAGCTCACGTGGAGTGCTGGCGGCGGCGCCGGCTGCTGTTGCTGCTGTGACCGGCGAGCGTCGGGAGCAAGACCGGCGAGGGGCGGCGGGAGTGCGTGCGGCGGCGAGTTGCGGCAGCGGCAGCGGCTGCTTGCTGTTGTTGCTGTGAGGGTCGGCGGCAACATTACTAAGTGTTTGGCAATGATGGGTACCAAATGAATGAATTATTACTATGACAGACAGGGATTTTGGAGTATTTACAGCATTTCCAACTAGAATGCCTTCATTTCAGCAATTCGCCATTTGGTCATTCTCTATTTGCTCAAAAGTAGTGATCACAGACGTATCTAATACAGCTTCTGTACAAACTGAAGATGTGCACAATGGCATCTTTTAAAAGAGGCGTAGTTAATGGAGATGTAGGTAGATATGTTCACATCATGTTGTATATGCGTGTATGCCTAA